AAATAAATAATGTATTAGGATGTAAACAAGAAATTACAACCACTCTAAAAATTTACAACAGAAAAGAATTATTTTAAGGAATACAAGTGATGGAGATACAGAGAATATTGACACAAGGCAGATATTGGGAATAGTAGAAAATCAATACCATATTTAGGCTAATGAGATAAAGGAATTGGACGACAGACTGCAGAGCAGGTCAGTCTGGTAGAGTTTGGGACACGGTGGAAATTTCTACTGGAATCTAGTGACATAGAGGAGATGGAGATGTGGTGGAGTAGCTGAGACAGGACAGGAGATGTGCTTTAGTTTCTTCTGGTCTTTCTTTAGATGAACCCAGTGGATCCTGGGAAAAGCAGACTGAAAAGTTAATAAGTCTGTCATTTAGAGAAGAAAAATGGGAATAATAAGGATTGAATTTGAGGACAATTAGGCAAAAGTCATCTCAATCATTTCGTAATCACCTTCAAAATTTTAGGACTTATTCCTTTCCTCCCCCTTCTCCTCCTCCTCTCCCTCCTCCTTCTCCTCTTCCTCCTCCTCCTCTCTCTCCCCCTCTCCCTCCTCCTCCTCCCCCTCCTCCTCCTCCTCCTCCTCCTCCTCCTCTCTCTCTCTCTCTCTCTCTCTCTCTCTCTCTCTATGCATGTATGTATTTATGGATGTAGGTATTGTGTTGAGGATTGAACTCAGGACCTTGCACATGCAAAGGATGCTCTGTTACTAAGCTACACCCACAATCCTTGATTTCATATATAAAAGAAAATCAATGATAAAATTAAGATTCTTAAGATTTCACAGATGCAAGTCAGGAAGAGGAATTCCCTCCATATTTATCCTAATATCTGTGGTCTGCATCAGAAGTATGTAATAATTGTTTTCATATGCAATATGATTAATTCTTATAATTCATTATAAACCACAAATTAAATACCTTATTTTTTTAAATGAGAAAGCTTAGTGTTGTGTTAAAGTTTCATTTGACTGAAATCATGTATTACATTTTTAAATTTTCTTCTATCAAGACCAAATACTAGAAGAGGAACAGAAGCTACTACATTCAAGGATTTTTTCATTTGGTGAACTTGTAGATAATTATTTTTTCCAGCATCTACTGTGTCAATGTGGGTCATCTAGTGATTAACTGTAGGAAATGCTTGTCCAAGGCCTCTTGACTTAGTGACAGATTGCAACTTGGCAAATTGTCATGAAGATTTTGTTTAGGGAACTTTGGAAATTTTTTTAGAGTCAACTTGCTTTAAAATAAGTTGTTAATATTTCTATAGAAAAATGTAAAATATTATGTTAGTAAAAATTTGAAAACAAAATTATGCAAAATAATAAAAATCAAATATAATTGCATAAGTAATCTATTTAGTGTTTTATTATATTTCCTAATTAGATATATCATGAAGCAAAATTTAAGATATTTAAAATACTGAGGGTCTTGGGCAAAATATTTCAAGGTTTTAAAAACAGAAGGAAGATTTTATATTTACTTGTGGTTTGTTGATCATAGTTGCTTATACAAAAACATAATTTTTTTTATTTACAAATATTTATTTAATACCAGTGTCAGGATGTCTATAACCTATAAGGTGAAAGCTGCATAATAAGTATCATGAGTCTTGTTATATCAGCGTTTTGCTGGCAAATTGTGAAAACTTCCCTCTGAATTTCTCAGATTGAAGCTGCCAAAATTTCCATCTTGAAAGCATAAGTAGAAACTTTATTAAAAGAGAATAAAAATTATTAAGCATTGTATGCTGCACACCAGGCAAATTACAGTCTCATGGTAGTCCTGGGTCTGACATAAGACACTGAAGTCACTTGAAAAGCAGTTGATTTCAACCCAGGTTTGCCTTTCTAATGGAATAGTGGGGAATGGAGGGTAGGAAGGCAGAGCACAGGAGTTTCATTGTTATTTAGTTCAGGGTTCCATAACAGAATACCCCAGACTGGGTGACTTTAGTAGCAAACATTTATTTTCCAACAGTTTGAGAGACTAGAAATCTAGGATTAATATGATGCCATAATTAGTTTCTGGTAAAGTCTTTTTCTTTGGCTTAAATATGGTTGTCTTCTCACTGTGCTCATATGCCTGACCTTCAGTAGTGTGGATGTGAGGTGCTCTGGGGTCTCTTCCACTTCTTAAAAGAACACCAATTATGTCCCCAACCTAATGCCTTCTTTTAAACATAGCTATCTCCCTTAAAGACCCTCTCTCCAAATATAGTCACATTGGTGTTAGAACCCCAATATAAGAATTTTGATGGGACACAATTCATTTTAATTCAGAATCCAATGTCTGCAAGGTAACAGTTATTATAGGCCCTTGTTAAATACTCTGTGCTAATGGAAAATAATGTGAATCAAATGTAGCTTGTTTCACTGACAAGATATGAGAGCTACAGGAGAAGAATCGTTTTAACCCCCACCTTGATGCTATAAGATGGTCCTGGGTGTTTATCTTGAAGAAGAGGAGAAGTCATATTTTTGAAAACCCAAACAGAACTGTAACATCTCCAGGACCAGAAATCCTGATATGAAATATGCATAAAAGAGGTCACCTGAGAAAGAGAAGTTGTCTCCCCATTATTTTGTAGCAGAGCATATCAGAGAGGCTCAAGTTGTGTGTAGGTGGTGATTTGGGATAGTCATAGAAAATCAAGGAGAGAACATCCCAGTGGAAGCAAAGAGAGTATCTGACTACATGCGTATGTTGTGAGCAGTTCTGTTGCAGAACCATGGAGGTGATTTGGGTCATATTTTGGGAGTATGTGTAGGTCCATGATCCAGATGCTGTAATAAGCAGCAATGTGAACACTGCTCTAATAGCTTGTTTGTGATATCAGTCCACAGAAAGGCACACAGATGTAAAATGCATTGATTTGAAAATATAGCACTGTGAAGAACCATGCAGGATCTGATTCATCAATGCTGGTAGAAGACAAAAGATTCCTGGATCAGAAATAAATGTCTTTATTACTCATAGCACAGCAGTCTTTATGAACTTTGTGGTTCCATCTGTTACACTTGCCTCCTCAAATCCCATTGGCTCAAGCCAAGTGTTCCAGATGAATGATGTTCAGCCAGTGGATTTTCATTACAGATTAGCACTCCTGTGCTTAGGAGCCCTAATCTTAAAAGAAGACTCAAAACAAGCCAGAACAGCCTTTGCCTTATAAAAAGACATTGTTTTTATTTTCCTGATCAGGAAACAAGTGTGACCTCTGTTTTGCAGGGAGCCACTACCCCCAAGATCCTCTGCAATAGAAACATCCTTGATAACATATTCTGCAGCATGCCTACCCAGACCTATTGCTCAGAAGACATGCAGAGATGTAAGACACTACAGTTAATTGTCTTCCAATAGGCATGACACCCCTGAGGACTGGCTGAGTAATGGTGAGAGAGTCAGGGAATATTAGTGTGATCTCATTTCCCTCCAAATCTTGAGATTCCTGGGTTATACTTAAATAGACAGCTATATAAAGTAGTTTCTAAAATATTTTCATCCTTTTAACTTTATTTTTCTATTAGTGTAGATTCAATTTTGAATAAAATGTATTTTTCTATGTAGATACATAGGGAAGAAGTTGAGCAAATAAACACGTAAATAAACAGAGTTTGCTTCTCCTTTAAACAATTAATAGTACAAGTGACGAAAAAGAGAACAGCCAACCAAAAATGACAGTTAAAAAAAAAAAAAAAGCCTTTCAGTACTAAATCCTTTCCTTTTAATGAGAACTGCTGGGAGGGAAGGAAACAGAGGTGGTTGCCAGCAGATCCTTTGTTCAAAATGAAATCTGGAGCAAGAGAGATTGGTAAGGAGACTACTGTGAAGGCTTCCACAGGCCTCTGAGATGCCAAAGGTGAAAACAAAATCCCTTTTGAAACAGATGAGTCTTTTATTTGTGAGAAAGCAAACAAGGAGGAGAAACACTTCTCTAAGTCTTGGCTCATAATTCAGTAATAGCAATGACTTGGCTCAAAACAATGAATGGTGAAAATGATTCTGCCTACTCATAAATTACAATTTTTAAACGAATTGATTATTTTGGTTTTAGGAGATATGGGGGATATTTTGAAAGAGCATAGAGAGCCAGGAGTTTGGGGAGTCTGGAAATGGGAAAAGAGACAAATTTCCAGTTTGGATCAGGAATCTACAGTTACGTATAAAGATCTATAAACAAAACTTTGGAAGGCGTTTTCCAGAGATGCAAAAAAATAATATTGCAAGTACTTATTTTTTTTAACAATGAGATTTATTGAGATACAATTTTTATTTAATAAAATCCTCCTTTTATCTGTATAGTTCTATGAGTTTTGATAATAATCTCTAAGGTCAGGTAAATACCATCACAATCAAGGCATCTGATACTTGTGTTACAACACGGAGTTTTCTCATATCCTTCTCTAACTTAACGGTTCCTTTGCTCCCATCCCTGGCAACCTGTATGTCTCTATAGATTTTTCTTTTTTTCTTCTTTTATAAACGTTTTTTCCTAAGGTAAAAATGGTATTCAGAACTCTGAGTCCGGCTTCTCTTAACAAAGTGCATTTGAGACTCATCTATGTCATTATATATATTGGTAATTCATTTCTTTTTAAAAACACTTTTAACAGACACATAAATGTACATATTTATAGGGTACAGTGTGACAAGTTGATACATGTACACAAGTGTAATGATCAAATCAGGGTAATTAGTCTTTCTGCCTCCTTAAACATCAATCATTTGTTTTTGGAACCTTTGTACTCCTGTCTTCTATTTCTTTATGAAATATGTAATACCTTGTTGTAAACTATAAATAACCTGCTGCACCATAGAACACTAGATCTTGCTCTTCCTAAATTATCTAACTGCATTTTGGTGCCCATTATCCAAGATCATTCATTTTAAATGTAGCATCTACTTTTTGGTTGTTTTCTATTTCATAGCATGATTGCTTTCAGCAAATTTCCACCTTATCCCAAATCTTAAAAAAGTTTTTACTCACTTATGAATTCAGTTTTTCCATATGATTGCTTTGTCTGGGAGAAGTTGGCATACTTTTGTTCCTCTTTTGTGGTTATGGCAAACTGGAGTAAGCTGATGCTGCCTCATGGAAGATGATCAGAGCCCGGAGGAGAAGTTTACAGCAAAAAGACCAAGAAAATGATCATTTAGTTGTTTTCTTCATGAAGTTTTGAGGAAGGCCACTAATTCCAGCAACTTTCAAGGATCCAGCTCGAGTCATTTTAATTAGACATTAAAGAAAACAATAACACCAGTAAACAAAAAACCCAAGGCTTCTTTGGTTATGGACACAATTAAAGGCTCTGTAAAATTGAAAATTAACAGACAAAATCAGTTTCAACTCATGACATTAATTCCTGTTCTTTGAAAAAAGATAAACACAGAAAGTGGTGACTAAATTTTATTTCTGCTTTTGTTTAATACTAGCACTAAAATATGGCCATTATATTTTAGCAAACATTATCAGTGGTAGTTTTCCCTGGGAAAATTCCTTTTGGATTTTGATGCATAACTTCTTAAAGAAAATTCTTTCTATTTATGTGTGAAAATTTGCCACAAGATAAAAGACTATACATTAAGATTTTCAGTGTGTTATGGTTTAACTATGAGGTGTTTCCTGAAGCTTCATGTGTGAGACAATGCAAGAAAGTTTAGAGGTGAAATTATTGGGTTATGAGAGCCTTAACCTAATCAGTGTTGTGTTAATCCCCTAGTAGGAATTTACTGTGTGGTAACTATAGGCTTGTAGGGTGTGGGTGAAGGAGATAAATCATTGGACTGTGGCTTTGCTGTTCATATTCTGCTCCTGTGAGGGGAGCTCTCTCTCTCTTTTTCCTGTTGCAATTCCTGAGCTGCCACACCCTTCTGCCATGATGTTCCACCTCACTTCTGGCCCAAAGCACTGGAGTTTTCCATCTATCGATTGAGACCTCTGAAACATGAGCACCAAATAAAACTTTCCTCCTCCAAAATTGCTCTTGTCAGATCTTTTGGTCTCCATAAAAACTGACTAAACACAGTGTAAAAATTAAGCATATTAATAAGAAAATTATCTAAGAGCTTTTATAAATTATTTCATGCATTTCACAAGGTTTATATTCCTTTTTGTTACCTTGTTACCTAAAAATAAATAAAAATAAACAAATAAATAAATAATCACACACACACACACACACACACACACACACACACATGAGAAAGTCTTGCAAAATAGCTTGGCACAGTCAAATTTGAGGAAACACTTTCCTTATTTCTATGACATAAATTATTTAAGCTAAGATGTTTTTCTCTAGGACTTAAGTGAATAAAAATTATTGCCAATTCATACTTCACAAGAGTGATCAAATTAATCTGACAAATATTGTATAGTACAATGGAAGTCCTAATTCTGAAGTATCAATTTTCAAAATGGGTTACAAAAAAAAAATAAAATAGAGTTCATACCTTGTAAATTTTTTCTTACAATGACAAACATTCCTATCATTTTATAATATTTTATAAAAATGAACACCATATTGTTGATAAATGACTACCAAAAACAAAGAGTTAATTTGTTAATCGATGTGTGCCTTGCAAAAAATAAAATTAAAGCAATCACTCTTGGTAATATCGATCACTTAAAGTTGTAAAGGATGCTTGTTTTTATATTTACATTTGATTAAAAAATAAAAATCCATTCCCCAGATGCTACTCTTTTGCTTTTAAACCAGAATGATATATTGATTCAAGTGCTTAATTTTTAAAACATTTTCTTCTTGAGAAATTAGTCTTCTTTCAGCTACTGTACTGTGCATGGCAGGAATTCATAGCAGTACACCTAAGAGGCTTACCTTTCATCTTTTATTCTATGGTCTTTAGCTGTAAGAAAGCTGCAGCTTGTTTTTCTTTGCAATAATTTCCTTTGAAATAATCTCTTTTTCTTGTGTCAGATACTGAGTGAACATTATGTTTGTACTATATTTTTAAAACTATTTTATGTTCTGCCATATTATTTTTTAAAGGCTATGTATCTTGTTCATTAACTATACATTCTTCTTTGTTGCACATGGTTAACCATGAATTCAGTTTAGGTAGGGGATATACTTTGAGATATTTTCTATCAAAGTAGGACTACATCTTATTTGATCCTGCTATAGTTTTTCACCAAAGTTCCTTATGAATCTGATGAATCTTTTCCTCATTTTTTTGTGTTCAGGGTTCAACATGTTGAAAGAGGTGAAGATAAATTTATGATAGGTCAAGACTATGACCTTGGCCACATTGTCTTCTATCATAATATTTTTTAAGCAAAAATTGCTAATAGTCATGAAAAACTTTATTGCTTTCCAAAAATTAAGAAGATGTTGAATTAATTTTTATATATAATTGACTAATTTCTCAGTATCCCGATGATTTTTTTCCTACTTTACAGATGACCATGCTAAACCTCAGGTTAAATATCATCACTAAGATTGCACAGTTGAGGAGCAGCCGATTCTGGATTCATTCACATCAATTGATTTTGAGCCTTTGTTTTTAAACACTCAACACTGTTTTACAGGAAAAGTAAAATCAGTAGTGCAATTGAACCACTTTTGTAGCAGAATTATCATTTACAAAGTAATGAAAACAAACAATGGACACTAATATTTTAACAAAAATTGATTCTATTGCATAACTCAGATTTTTTCAACTGTGGCCTTGGCTTATTTATTTTTTAATCTCCATGAAATCTCAGAAAACCAAAGTCCTACGAATTTTTCTTCTTTTATAATAAAAAGTGTGAAAATATTTTATTAACTATGGGCTGAACAAGTTCATGGTGCATAATATGGGAGAGAGGTGGTGGTGGAGAGATTATTCTTACTTATCTAAAATGCTTTGCTTGGTCCCACTTCAGGATGCTGTTGATGAAGAACTGTAAAAATTAGACCAGATACATATCTTGGCTACTCACTTTTGGCTAAATAATTTTATCTAAGTTATTAGATTCACTAAGCCACAGTTATATCATTTATAAAGTGACGCTAAAATTTCTTGTCACAGAGACTGATGAGAGGATTAAATGAGATAATTTAGGAAAGGTTCCTTACAGGAAATTTTGTTAACTAAATAATTAATACTGTATGTCCTTTTACTGTTTTCCTTTTTACTGTATTCCTTTTTTTTTCAAATGAGTCAGATGCCCTTAGCATAGTGCACACACCATTGTCAGTGCATAGCAGTGAGATGGGAATATAGATCTCCTTTAGGAAACTAGGAAAGGCCTTTGGAGAAGGACAGGAAGGGAGGGGGATATGATACCAACCTGAAATTGGCAAATGATTTTCATTCACGTGCATCCTAGAGAAATACTTCTTAAATAAGTTTGTGTCATATAAATAAGCAAAATATTTCCTCAGATGTGACTGTGCTATATTTTCTGTGAAAATACCATATATATATATATATATATATATGTACACATATATATATACAAATATAAATATATATGTGCATATATAAAATATAAATATTATATATTTACAAGATTACATATTTATATATTGCATATTTATATCTATATACACACAAATCAAATATATATAGATAGATAGATAGATAGATAGATAGATAGATAGATAGATAGATAGATACACATATATGGTATATTTCTTTTTAGGTAAACTTAAAGTAACACAAACTGTGCAATTCATGAGGTAATTCATGTGACATTTTGATGCTTCTCTATTTTATACCAGGTGATGTGTTTTAAAATTCAGAAAAGAGCTTGTTCTGACTTACATCATTTTTGAGTATATAAATAGCTGTGTATATTTACCTTACTAATTCAAAATATTGTAATGTGGACATATAACTTCTATAACTAATAGTTTTCTGATTTTGATGTTTTACCATTTCAAATCTTACTTCCCCATAGGTTCCATTCATCTCCCCATTTTTATGATATAATAACCTCAGATATAATTTTCTTTTATTTTATGCTGATTTATTTATTTTTTAGTTGTAGTTGGGGACAATGCTTTATTCCATTCATTCATTTTTGTGTGGTGCTAAGGATTGAATCCGGGGCCCTATATCGGCTAGGTGATCACTCTACCACTGAGCCACAACCCCAGTCCTCAGGTATCACTTTCATATACCTTAATTGCCATATCACATGGTGCTATAATTTTTCTTCCAGTCATAAAACATGTTTAAGAGTTTAAGGAAGGTTAGTCTGTGGGGCTCATGCTTAGTGTTACACATTCCAAAATTCTTTCTTTAAAATTTCAAAACTCCTGTGTTTATTTTCTTTTTGTTAACAATGTCCTTCAGCCATTCCTCAGGGGTGGGTTTGTCTTTATCCTCAATTGAAATATGTTGTGCCACTCCTTTCTGGCCCTTATGGTTTCTGTTGAGGAGTTCTCTGTCACTCAAATTGGGGTTCTCAAATAAGCAATGCATCATTTTTCTTTGCTGCCTTCCATACTTGTTTTGTCTTTGGTTTCTGACGTTTGATGATGAGTCTTGTCATTGATTTCCTTAGGTTTGTCTTAGTTGAGAGTTGAACACACATATGCACAGAAAAATTAACGAATGCTTGTACACGTAAACATGCCCCTTTGGATTCACTTAAAAAAGGAGAATACAGCTCTACAATATTGAGCTTATAGAAACTGGTTTAATTTTTGACCTTTATACATCATACAAAAGAAAAAAAAGTTTCTTTAATAAATTGAAGGCCTAGAAATTTCAAACCAATCTAAGTTGAGCACAATAATTAGAGCTGTACTACCTCTAGATTGTAAGTGACCTATTCAACATGTGATTGGAATTTTTAATATCAATTTTATTTAAACGTTTCAGAGACATTGAGAAAATTAATTCCGAAATAAGTATTTGATTTAAGACAAATGCTCAATTATGAGAATTTTAAAAAATATTCTGGAGAATCTCTTAATAATGTCATCTTTTGGAATGTGTCAAAATTTTATTTGAAATTGTTTTCAAAATAAAATGGAAAAATGATGTCTGCATATGAAGTTAGTTGAATTTCAAAGGCCATGCATTCAAGTGTTCACCCGAGAAATTACTTTATGCATTTAAAATAAAAATTTGCTTAGTTTTTTTTTATATAGCATTTTCTTTACTGGTGGAAAAAGCAGTGATTGGTTCAAAGGAAACTAATGACTTATAACATTTCTGGGTAAATGCATAATCAGTTCAATAATTTCTACCTCCATCTTTCCCTTTAATTTTTGGCACAGAATTTCTCTACACTCAGGATTAGAGGATAAATGACACACTCAAAAGGACCAAGGAAGCAAGGTGCAGTGGTACATGCTTGTAATCTCAGCAACTCTAGAGTCTGAGGTAGGAGGACCCCAAGTTAATGATTAGTTTTAGCAACTCAGTGAGGTTCTAAGCAACTTAGCAAAACCCTGCCTCAAAATTAAAAAGTGGGAAAAAAAAGGCTGGGGATATAGCCCAGCAGTTAAAAAAAAAAATGCCTTGGGTTAAATCCCCAGTATCATTAAAAAGGACAAAGGAAGAGTCTGAAGAAGAGGGTATGGAGAGAGGTCTGAGCAAGGTAAATAGGGAAAATTAGTAACAGATGGAAACTCACACAGGGTTCAGGACAGGGGAAACTGATACTAACCTGTATTTGAAGAGGCAAAAGAATATCTCTAGATCCAGAGCAGGATAGGAAAAGATAATTCTTGAGGAGAAAATGGGAAATATGAGTCAAGGGTTCAAAATTTTTTCTCACAGAGCTCTGTCCATGCAGTGGTAATCATCTGACTGTGGCATACGAGTCCCATAGAGGTTTAATCATAGACTTTCCCCCACTGTTCCAGTCTTGGGTTTTGTGCCCTCTTATCAATGGTAGAATTCCAGCTTGCTGTTCCTCCTCACCATGACAATATAATCCTGAGCTATAACTGAGCTTTACTTGGGATGCCAATAGAGAAATGTTAAAATATGTTAAATGTTTTCTTGTGATTTTCTGGGTGTAAGAAAATTTGGGGGCAGTAGAACAGCTTCCTTCTGCTGATTAAAGCCCTAATATTCATTCCTAGAACTGTTCCCTTACATATTCCCATATAGAAAGTAAAACACTAGTTCTTATGTGGTTAGAATCCTCTAGAATATTACCTCCCAGACTTGGTAGCCAGATTGAGGATTGAAGACTGGTGGAAAAGGGGTCAAATCATCCTTCAAAATCTTAAAATATACTGCTTTTCTTAATATATATATATATATATATATATATATATATATATATATATATATATATATATATATCTTTAGTGTGGTAAAAGAGAGGGACTCCTATCACATATTTTTTTACGTTATTGTTTGTATTACAAACTTTGGTCTTTGATTTTTGAAAGGAAAACTAAAATAGAAAACTTTGATAAATCAAAAAAAATTTTCAAACAAGTGACCCACTCAAATTCAAAACTGTCTTGGCTTCAGACTATATATAGTATAAATGATAAGTTTTTAAACAATCATATTGAAAAGTGACTAGCTACTTTGCTCTCATGTATATCCTTCACCCTCAACTCCCCCACATTCCCAAGCAATAGATGCCAGTAACTGTTGGATAGAGATCAAGGCAGCAATAGTTAGGAAAATAAAAGAAAATCTGTAATTATTACTCAGTATTGTTAGGCCACATATACTTGAGCAAATAGATTTGTTTTGAAAAGATTTGCCCTTAGAAATGCGGAATGCCATCCACATTGTTACACAGTGCTTTTTAAAGTGAATTGTCCATTTTGCTAGAAATTATTTCTGAAACATTGGAAGCATTTTGAATATGCCACGATACTACTTATAAATCAGTTCAGCACATTTAAAATAAATTAATAATAGTATCAACATACATTTCACAAACATTATAAATTATATGTCCTTGCCCCATAAATCTTATCAACCCAATAGATTCAGCAAAGACTTGGAATACAACATAAATTATGTTCTTATAGTTTGACCTCTCTGGAGATGAACAATGTATTTGCTAAAATTCAAAACAATGGTACAGAAAAGTGAGAAATGACAGACTTCATTTGACTGGCCGCAGTCATAAAAACAAGTTGCAACTGTATTTGCGAATGTGTTTTTGGACATATTAGTATTCTATTGAAATTGCTTATCTAAGAAAGGTAAAGAAAAGAAGGTCAAAACATGTTTACATTTGGGCTCCCAAAGGAGCACAGTGAACATCTTTCACTGTGGTAAAGAGAGCCAGAGAGGGCAAGGCTTCTTGTGATTATGGTATTCATTTTCTGTTCCTTGTTACCTTGACTACGAATCTTCTTTATATAGCTATTAATAGTTAATGAGAAGTACCAAGAGTCTCAAACACTTAACAGTTTGACCACCAATCTCCAAATATACTATTTTAATGCTTATGCTCAAAAAGTGTTTGCCATCGTTTGAATATTGCACAAATGATTACAAATATAATAGTTTAATGATTAAGCGTTTAAATGATGTGAATTATGAGATATATTAGTTTGTTTAAAGCATATTTCATGAAATTACTTACCAGATTTGCATCAATTATATAACTCTATATAATCATAGAGTTTCTTGTTGGACAAAATATTTCTTTTGCTTCTTCATATAGTGTAAAAAAATGATACAGTCTCCTATTTATGACTTGTTATATATTAGTAAATACAATTTATTGATTTTTAAAATAATTTTAATTGAGAGAGCTTAAGACTAACGTGCCAAACTATATTTAGGTCCAGCTCCAACATTCTCCTCCCCAAATGGACAAAGCAACTAATTGACAACAGCCAGAACATAAGAAGACAAAAATACTCACTTCCTACATGGTTATAGAAGAGTAAGTAGTAATTACATTAGTAATAATGGAACAATACTTTTCAAACTTATTAATAAAAACAATGCTAATGAACTGATTTGGAGATGTTTATATAAACAAATTCCCTACCCCCGACACACAAATTACAGCTAGATCTAGAAATATAAAAACCATTATATGTATTTGCATTGCATTTCAAAAGATTACATACTAAAATTTTATATATAATAATATTTTTATATAATAATCTTAAAGTGACAAAGTTATAGTGACAGAAAATACATCAGAGATCACGTAAGATTGGAGATAGAAGGATGTAGCTATTAAGGGGTAATGTAAGAGAGGCTACATGTGTGGGTTGATAGAACAGTCTGTTCTCTGTGGTAAGAGAATCTATACATATACAAAATTTTCATGAAGACATCCTTTCTGTTTAGTACAGACATACGTTCACAAATGCACACATGGAATACTAGAAATTTTTGAGAAATCCCACTATATATCTGTAACTGAGTAAATAATTTTGCACTAATGTTAATTTTCTTATTTTGGCAATGTCAGATATTACCATTGGGGAATAAGTTATAATACTTATGACACAGTATAGACATGGGTGTTATAATTAACATCAAAGGCACTTAAATATTTGTTTTAACCATATTCTATATGATTTAGTTAAGCCAGGTAGAAAGGTCTGCAGTCCTGGCTACTTGGGGGCCTAAACAAAAGAATGGCTTGATCCTATGAGTTCAAGGTCAAACTGTACACACAGGGAGACCTTTTTTTAAAAAAAAAGTTATATAGAGACTCAAAAGATATAAAAATGGTGCAAATCAGACTTGTCAAGAAATATCTGAGATGTAAACTAAAATAGATAAGATGAAAAACGTACTAGATTCTATAATTATACTAAGACTGTGTGAAGACTACATTTTTTTAATTGCAAGTTTAAAGTTACTTTAAAACACTCTTTTAAGGGCTGGGGATGTGGCTCAAGCGGTAGCGCGCTCGCCTGGCATGCATGCGGCCCAGGTTCGATCCTCAGCACCACATACCAACAAAGATGTTGTGTCCACTGAGAACTAAAAAATAAATATTAAGAATTCTCTCTCTCTATCTCTCTCTCTCCTCTCTCACTCTCTCTTTAAAAAGAACACTCTTTTAAAAATGAAAATGGGGCTTATAATTAGTAAGTGATTTATTCCTCATCTCACACATATTGAACGTCAGAAACCATTCAGCATTCTTGCTAGTACAATACACTGCAGAATCGGATAATGATTTCTTCCTTTCCATTTATTTTTTTATTTAGGCCTTCCTCTCACATTACATGTCATCATCTCTGGCTATGGTCTTTCTATATTTTCACCAAAAGAAAAAGTATCTATATACAAATTGAAGGTTTTCAAGTTGTTCTCTCTCTCTATTGTACAAGAATAGGAGACATAAACAAGTTCTATGTTAAAATATTAAAATATTTCAATATTAAAACAAATGACCTAAGAATTTAGAGTAAATTATTCTAGTGCTGATTTCATGGGAAGATTTTCTGTTGTTATAGAATCAGAAATGTGTTTCTGAACTCAGCAGAAATCTGGGTGGCAAGAATTATCTGACTCAGTAACAACAGTGTAAGAAATGTTAACATGATCCAACCAACAGGATTCTTCAGCAGAAATGTAATAATAGCATGTTAGTTCTTTAGTAGATATTTTTAAGGACAATAAATGTCAAAATGTAATTTAATTTGATGCATAATTTTGAATAAAAGATGCTTCATTTACTGGAATTTTTAAATCAGACCCATTAAAGGTAACGGAATTTTGCTTGTAAATAAACTGTTTTATTAGTTTACGCTGTGTTTCAGGCCCTGCTCTATACACTTTATATTCGTGATCTTACTGAATGGGATAAATTCTTACAATAATCATATACTTATAGCCATTACACTGATGAAGAAATTGAGGTTAGAAGCACTAAGTAATTTGATCAAATAACACGGCTGGTAGGTGGGTAAACTGGGCTTTAATCCAGGATGAGTCTGATAAGAAACCATTCTATATCAGTTTGCATCCATTCCTCTCCACTATCCCTGAAGCTCTGGATGTTTCATGGACAACTGGCACTCAATTTTATGTTTACCGTTCTTGTAAAATCTTGATACTTTCTTCTGAATTTTTTTCTGTAAAACTTTCATTTGGATTGCTACAAGGAAGGTCTATGCTGACTTTCTATTTTTGTTTGCTGTTGTTTTGTCTGATTTTCATGAGGTATATGTATAGTTGGCAGCTTTTAGATGGCATGGCCTCCTGTGATCTCTGCCTCCTGGGCTTTATACCTTAACTCCTGCCCCTTGTATGTGGGCTGGACCCAATGTCTCTTCTATCAGATATAATATGATGAAAATGGTGGAATGTCACTTCCAAAATCAGATTTGCCATCAGTCTGTGCCTTCCATCTGACTGACCTTTTGTTTCACTTCTCATTGCTTCTCTAATGGAAACAGCTGCCATGTTTTCAGCTGCTGAGGCAAAGGGTCACATAACCTAAGGGAGGTGTCCAGGCGACATTCATCAAGGAATGGACATCCTCAGTCCAATAGCCTGCAAGAAATCACATTCTGCCAGCACCAGATGAGCAAGCAAATAATATATTGTGTGTTGCAAGTGCATGGGTGACCTACCTGGAATGTTTTCTTTGTCTGAACTCTTCATACCACTTTAAATGTTTCTATTTATGTCTCATCTCCACTGATGCACTTGATTTGTATAATGCCCATAGTTTTGTTCTCTTAATAGATTCCAAGACCCTTTAAGATTAAAATGAACTTTTTTAAAAACTATAAAATATGTATTGAATACTTAGTACGTTTGTGGTAATGGAGAGAACAAAATTAAGAAAGTAAAAGATGGTGCTGGAGACATATAGCTCAGTAAAGTAACACTTGTATTCATGATATTTGTAGTTCTATCCCCATCCACCTTCCACCCTAAAAATATAGAAAAGAAAAAGTGTT